TTGATCTTTTGTATTTATTTTTAAAATATATTTTTGTTGATTTCCGAGAGGAAGAAGAGAGAGAGAAGTAGAAATATCAATGATGAGAGAGAATTATTGATCAACTGCCTCCTCCATGCCTCCCACTGGGGATCGAGCCTAACCCAGGCATGTGCCCTGACTGGGAATCAAACCATGACCTCCTGTTTCATAGGTCGATGCTCAACCAGTGAGCAACACCAACTGGGCTTGTGTTATTTTTGTTTCCATGTAAAGTATTTCTACTCTGATCTTTATTATTTCTTTCCTTCTACTTACTCTGGGCTTTCTTGTTGCTCTCTTTCTAATTCTTTTTCGTTGTAGTGTTAGGTAGTTTATTAGACCTTTCCAACACTTATTACTTGCTTGTTAATAACAGCCATTCTAACAGGTGTGAGGTTGTATTTCATTGTAGTTTTTGATTAGCATTTCCCTAATAGTTAGTGAAGTTGAGCATATTTTCATATATCTGTTGGCCATTTGTATGTCTTCTTGGGAGAAGTGTCTGTTCAAAGTTCTCAAGCCATCTGTTTGTTTGGTATTGAGTTGTATGTGTTCTTTATATACAGGGTGTGGCAGGGTGTAGGTTTACAATTCTGAATATGCAAAACACAGAATTTATTCTTGTATTATTATTGTATTATTTGCATACAAAATCTACTTTTGCCCCACCCTATATTTTGGATATTGAACCCCTTTTCAGAGCTGTTGTTTGCAAATATCTTCTCCTATTTGGTTGGTTGCCTTTTTATTTTGTTGGTAGTTTCTTTTGCTGTGTAGAAGCTTTTTAGTTTGATATAATCCCATTCATTTATTTTTGCCTTTATTTCCCTTGCCTTTAGGGTCAAATTCATAAAATCTCTACAACCAAGGTTTATAAGTTTAATACCTATGTTTTCTTTTATATAGTTTACTAGAGGGCAGAACTGCACGAACCCGGGGGTTGGGAGGGATTCCTCAGCCCGGCATGTGCTAACCAGCAGTCGGACATCCCTCTCACAATCCGGGATGCTGCATGCACCAGTGACCATACTTTACATACAGGTGAAAGACATCTTGCTGTTGTAAGGGCAGCTACATTTTTTTGCCCTGATTATAAAAAGTAGTACATAACATGATTCTTCTGAGGCAGTAGTACCATTTTCCCCATCCTATGGGTGGAAAAACTGAAGCAGAGAGAAATTAGGTAACTGGCTTTGTCACACAGTTATAAGTGTCAGAATAAGGGCTGACCACAAAATGTGCAAGCCAGAGTCCATGCATGTCATCACTGCATCATCCTGTTTTTTCAGTGTTAGAATAGCCTTGTCAGGTTTTAATTTTTAAATCTAAGAGACTGTTCCCAATATATAGGGTAGGGTCACTAGGCCTGGATGGGGATCAGGGCCATCTTTGGGGCAACCGGTGGGCGGGGTGATAGGGGGCGCCCCTGGCGGCCTGGCGCTGCCCCTGGCTGGCCCTGTCCCCAATCACTGCCGCAGATCACCTCCCTCTTGGTGGTCAGTGCACATCACAGCAACTGGTCATTATGCCCACCTTCCTGTCTTTCGGTTGATTTGCATATTAGGGTTTTATTATATAGGATTGTTTCAGGTCTTATAATTAGGTCTTTGATCCATTTTGAGTTAATTTTTGTATATGGAGACTATCTGTTCTTAATTGAAGCTCTAGCATCCTACACAAGGCTCAGCACATATAATGGGAGTTCAATATATGTTTGTCGATAGAATGAATGAATGGATGGATAGGTGAATGAATACAGAAATAGATTATTCTGAGGTGATTCAATCAAAATAATGCAGTATAAAAAGCCAGAAAAGGAAAGCTTTAAAGTGGTGTTAGATACTGTTACAGAGTTATAGGGAGTCCGAAAAGTCCACTGAATTGAATGTTCAGAAGGGATTTTATCTTTAGAGAGTTGTTCTAGTAAGAATATGAACCAGATTTTTCACTGAATATAAACCAGAACATAAAGAATTAAGGATGAAGTAGGTAATAAAGATACGATTACAGTAAGATTGCCTTTGTCTTTATTTTTATTACTTTGGTGAAAATAGAATAGGTGATATACGTATGTGAGGATAACAGAATCAAGAAAGGGGTTTGTTGGTTTCTTCATTTTAAAATAGCAAGAGTGAGCATATTAGTTAGAAAAATACAAGTATCAGTCAGTGGATAAAAATATGTTGAAGGTATAGAGGGAAAAGGGGAATTATAAATAAATTTCTAGAAGAGGCAACTTAATCACATATAAGCTTAAGAAAGAACCTACTGTCCCCAGAGATTAGAGTAATGGGAAAATGTGAAAGTAAGGGACATAGAGAACCAAATAAATGTGCTATAACCTCAACTTACCCTAGATGATCTATTTACAAGTTACTCCAGAGCAGGTATTCAATAAATATTTGTTAAATGAATGGGATGAACAGACAAATGAATAGATGCAATGATATAAATGTGTTGTTTTCTATATCTTCTTACCATAGACATGATTTTTCATAATTTCTTAAGCTAAATCATTGATGTGATAAGGAATGACAGATTGTACCAATCAGGGAACACCTTTAGTGAACATTTTTTAACAACAGATTGAACAAAAATATGATGAATACCCTTATGCATTCTACTGTTATTTAAATCCCTAATGATGGAATTATCTATGTGCTAACATTATTCATTTTACTGAAAGCAACAGTAAGTAAAGAAACAGTTTATGTCAAAGAAAAATATATGTTCAATCAATAACCAGAAAAATATGTATGTATCAATATTTGTCTAACTCCAGAAGAAAAAACAAGATTAAGAAATAAAAAGTTTAATTTTTACTGTTTAAAATAATTGTTCAACCTGAAAATTAAATCCCAGATCTAATTTTCTAATCTGTTGAGCATTCTCTTTATAAAATGTTCTATTTTTAATGGTTTTCACATTCCAAAAATATACACCAAGCTGTATAAAAAACACTATTTAAAATTCACTAGAAGTTACTTTAAAATAAATAATATGTACACTGACTTTATAACACTCTCCTCTGTTCCAACTTCAGAACTTGTTACTAAGTTAAAAGATCACAGAAACAGATGAACACTTTTGTATCACTTGACAGACATTGAAAATATTAGTTAGCTTTCACTTGCTAACTACTAGAATTTATATCTATATATATAAAAGCCGAAGAGACCAGCCGACCGGTAGCTATTACGTGCACTGACCAACAGGGGACAGATGCTCAACGCAGGAGCTGCTGAGTTGCAGTGACTTGGCAGCTGCAGTTCTTGGGTGATGCTCTCGGAACCAGAGAGGACAGAGCCCAATTCCAGGGCGCATCACCTGAGAACTGCCCTCTCACAATCTAGGACCCCTCAGGGGATGTCAGAGAGTTGGTTTCGACCCAATCCCTGCAGGCCAGGCCAAGGGACTCCTTGGGTGCATGAATCTGTGCACTGGGCCTCTAGTATTACTATAATGTTGCTTATTTTATTGTGCATTTCAATATGACCTTTGTCAAAAGAAAAATATGTTTGTGTTTTTTAAAAAAACATCAGGGAATAAAAAAGTTTTATGGTTTCTTCATACCTTATATAGAAGCTAAATTTACAATTTACATTATTCTTTCAACAATTTAATTACTGCATACCATGCACAAAAGAGGTCAGTGGCACAAAAGAGGTGGGTGAAACCGAATGAGTAAGGGATTGATCACTGTTGGAAGGAGTCAAATTATAGCAACAATAATTAGTACATATAGTCTATTTCAAAATGTGATTTTCACACACAATTACTATAATAAATTACTTTATGTGGTAAAGATACAAGGATGGAAACAAATTAAACCAAATCAAGGAAATCAAAATAGGAATCCAAGTTCATTGTATAATTGAAGAAATGGATTTGAGAGATATCCTGGAAGAAGTGATAGGATATACCAATCACCAATATGGTAAGAATAAAAGTTGGAAAATAAGAATTATGGGGAAGATAATGGTCTCCAACTAGCTGAATAATTTATTTTGCTTTTTTAAAGGATCTGGAATGCAGTGGCACCTTGGAGCTCACCACTGGTATTCCCCATCCTTCTGAGCCCATGCTGAGGAGCTGCTGGCCCTATCAAAGACTATGTATCAAAGGCAGGTTTGACCATCAAGTCCGAACACTGAATGTTTCCAGTGACCATGCCAGAGATTTCATATTCTAATAAGGATTGCCCTTTCCAGCACTCTTCTTAGGAATTTCTGCATTCATTGCACTTTATTCCTATGGCTCAAAAATTTTGGACTGCCTCACATATTTGTATACATGTGTAGAGTATCTTTATGTTTTATTATATGTGCATTTTAAGTGAATATTCAAGCCATTTTCATGAATGTGTATACCCACTCTGTTGTGCATTACAATATTATCTGGACACTATTTGTAATACCATATGTATATCTTCGGTTTAAAAACTGTCAGTATTGCCCTGGCTAGTGTAGTTCAGTAGGTTAGAGTGTCATCCCATACAGCAAAAGGTTCCAGGTTCAATTTCTAGTCAGGCCACATATCTAGGTTGTGAGTTTGATCCCCAGTTAGGGCGCATGCAGATCAATGTTTCTCTCTCACACTGATGTTGTTGTTGTTTTCTCTCCCCCCTTTCCTCTCTTTCTAAACGCATTTTTTTTAAATGTCAGTGTCATTGGTTATGTTCTGTAAGTGAGAATTTCACAAGTGTTCCATCATCTCCATGAACTGCTGGTACCAATTATAGCAGACACACTGTAGCCCTGTGAGATAAAGTATCCTGATAGTTTTTACTAGAATTAGCCACCACACCACCACACCACCATACTCTTAAAACATCCCCACATCCACCTTTCAGTATTAATGATTGTGTTATTTTTCAAGATTTTCATGTATATAAATATTTCTGTTCAGAAACCCTTTGAAATGATCTATTGTCAGAAGTAAATAATAATTAGCAATGACCAGTAGGGTCTTGGGAATACCTTCTGGTGTTGTTCTTCCTTCATCCTCTGTAGTTTTTTATTTTCTTCTTCCTTTAGAGAATCCTTATAAGCCTGTCTTCTGGCCTGTAAAGATATAGGGGGGAAATTCAGAGGAAAAAGCATCGCCACAATATACTAGTCTGCCTACCATGGATCTGGTGTTAATAACTCAACCTCTGTACTAAGCATACAGCAAACTCTTCATACAGACTTAACTATTGAATTATTTATGCATGTGTCTGAAGATGTCCCTTGGGATATATAAAAAAAATGCTAGGATAAGCACATTTTATAATACGATCTAAATACTTGTTTAATTTGGGTTTTAAAAATATCCCCTCAAATTTGACTTTAGGTGGTGGGCACACAATGCAATATATAGATGATGTAAGATAGAAATCTACACTTGAAACCTACATAACCTTTTTAACCAATGTCACCCCAATAAATTTAATGAAAATTTTAAAAAAGAAAGTTGCAGGGTGAAAGGGAGATAGAAAAAGAATGTAAAAGAAAATAATTTATTTAAAGTTTCAAAATGGCAAATTCGCTTTCTTAATGAACAGTTGTGAAACTCAGCTAATAAATCATTGAGAACACTTTTGTGAAAGTGAATGATGCTAACACCTTCCTGTTAGAAAGTTGAGGGAGAAGAAGTTGTTGCAGAAAAAAAAAAAATCTGTATTGCTTCTTTAGAACTGCTAACCAAGAACTGTGTTGGGCCACTTTTCCTGAAAACTGCTACTACTAAGGGAATGAAAAAAAGAGAGAAATTGTCCACCATGAAATGTAACTAGATGCAAAGATAAGGGACCATTTTTCTTTTTGAGCAACAGAGGTTGGGGCACAGCCTTCTTGTCGAATTCTTAGTCACGGTCAAAAGTAAATATTACCCCTTTAAGAGACTTATAACTCACGGCTGTCTAACCTCTTTGGTCTGGCATTCATGTTACGATCAGATGGCTTCCAATTATCCTCTCTAGCCTATTCCCTATGACTTTCCTCAGCTCAAACTAAACTTCTATTTCTCAAAATTACCCCATGCAAAATAAATACATACATACATATATACATACATCCCCACAGAGATAGTCGACATAGTGTACATTTTTTCTAATGAGAAGGCTTTGAAATAGAGGAAAGTTAAATATTTTTCAAGAATATTCCAACCAGCTGATTAGTTAATATCAGAGACAAGCAATAGTGACACTGAGTTTAGAAGCACTGACATGTCTACTGCTCATTAATGGATCCTGTTAAAAAGCCTGTCAACTGGTAACTGCTACCACAGGATTCCAGAGATGCATTTCTTTCTAAGTCTTTGCATCCCCAGTCTGTACCTGAAGCATATTTCTATTTCTGAGCAGAAAAACAAGGCCTGTTAAGGAGCACAGAAGTCATAAATCTGGCTGAATTAGGACCCCCTGGGGAGCCTTAGAAGAGCCAGCACACACAGCAGGATGTCTTTAGTCCCACTGACCCACCATGTCAGGCTTCCACACACTGGCATAGAGACCATATACTCTGGAAGTTATGAGATATCAAGTATTCTGTCTGTTCACTGGTCATATACTTTCTCTCTCACACACTGATTTGTAGTCCAGCCTCTGTAAGTCAGAGAGGCCAGCCTGGTAAGCTAATGTGCATGAAATTTCATTTTTCTCATAAAAGCACCAGCAGCATCATGGCAGCCGGCTGCATATTTCAGGACTTGTTCTTTGGACTAACAATCCATAAAGCTTATGTAGGCTGGGCCCCTCTTTCCTCTTACTATAATTTTTCTCAAGCACTTTTTTTTAAATATATTTTATTGATTTTTTACAGAGAGGAAGGGAGAGAGATAGAGAGTCAGAAACATCGATGAGAGAGAAACATCGATCAGCTGCCTCCTGCACATCTCCCACTGGGGATGTGCCCGCAACCCAGGTACATGCCCTTGACCGGAATGGAACCTGGGACCCTTCAGTCCACAGGCCGACGCTCTATCCACTGAGCCAAACCGGTTTCGGCCTCAAGCACTTCTTAATTCATTCCCCCATTTCTGTCACTATAGAACCCATATTGTATCAAATAAGAAGACATACTTGCCAGAGAGGGATTGTATCATCTAAAACACTACTAATTAGAATAGTGGAGCTCTGGATGTGTTCAGAAAGCCCTTGTATATATATGCAAACCCTGCAACATTAGATGGGCAAACATCCTATGACTTTCTCTTGTATATCTCCTAAATACAAGGGGACTGTGATAAGACAGAAGGTGGGAGTGGTTCTTCTTTTTAGAGAAAGCTAGTCTTCATCACAAATATTCCACAGAAAACCTAAAAGGGCTGGGGGGAGGGGTAAGGGAGTACATCTACTCAAGAGATTAAAAGAAGGAGTAAAATATTTAGTTAAAACAGATATTATGATTTGAGTGGGAAACTTAAATTCTGTTTGTATACCTTCCTTTTAAACTTAACCACTTGATGCCCAGCTGGTGTGGCTCAGTGGTTGAGCATCGATAAGAGGTTGCCAGTTTGATTTCCGGCCAGGGCACATTCCCCAGGTTGTGTGCTCAATCCCCAGTAGGGGTGCACTCAGGAGGCAGCCAATGCATGATGTTCCTCTTTCATTGATGTTTCTCTCTCTCTATCCCTCCCCCTTCCTCTCCCTTCAAAAATCAATAAAAATATATTTAAAATAAACAAAAAAACACACTTAACCACTTGTTCATTTACCAGAATATGGCTCCTGGTTTTGGATTCAGAAAAAAAAAATGGTTAGACACATAAAGTGTCATTTAAAACTGGGAAGTCACCTGGCACCTTAACTATGAAGACTTCAAAGTTACTTGTAATCCTCATGCATGCTTACCCAGCTGTGATCCCTAGGCAGGACAGGAAGTTTCTGTTCAAAAACAAGGGAGGAATCAGTTTTGATCACTATTTTTCTTAGTTTTAAATCCCAGAAATTTCTATATCATTGTATTCAGATATTTTTCTAACATTAAATATGAATTTACGTAATATTAAAACTTAAAATTTTGTTACTCAACTACAATACACAGTTTGACTCATCCTCTCCCAAAGCTATGCTTATAATATAGGTATTCAGTAAACAATATTTAACCCTCGTATGTGCAAGCACTATGGTTAAGACATAATCCCAGACCTCAAGGTGGAAGTCAGACAAGATCAATCATTATAGTACATCACGATAAGTATTGTAAAAGAGGAAGCTATAAAGAAGGACATTTAATTAAACTGGATCAAGGGCACCTTCTCAAAGTAGATGACACTAAGTTGTGTCTTAAAGAGTGAATTAGAATAAGACTAAGTGGGGGGAAGGAAATTTGAACAAATGGAAAATAACATTGTATTGGTTTTCTAGGGCTGCCATAACAAAGTATCATAGTCTGGGTGGCTTAAACAATAAAAATTTGGTGTCTCACAGTTGTAGAGGCTGGAAGTCCAAAATCAAGGTATCTGCAAGGTTGGTTGCATGAGGTAAGGATCTAGGCCTCTCCCTTTGGCTTGGAGATGTGTCTTCTCCCTGTGTCCTTTACATCATCTTCCCTCTGTGTCCATCTCCGTGGCCAAATTTCCCCCTTTATAAGGACACCTCTACTATTGAATTAGAACCCACCCTCATGACCTCACTTTTACTTGATTACCACTGTAAAGGCCCAATATCCAAATTATGTCACATTCTGAGGTTCTGGAGGTTTTAAATTTAAATTTGGGGGTGAGGAGGACACAATTCACCCCATGACAAGCATTAAATTCCTGTTTCAAGACGGTGGAATAAAAATGTTTATGCTCCTTTCTTCTCTCAAAAATTACCCTAAACAGAAGAGGAAATAAAACAAACAAACTCTATCTTTAAAAACTGAGAGACAGCTGTATTCCCAGACAACAATCTATAAAGACAGAGTAGATGGAGAAATGGTAAGTGACTAAGAGAGGAAGAGAGCATGCCTGAAGACTTGCTGGCCGGGGATAGAGGACACCCATAAGGAGCCAGTCTTCTCCATAGATCAATGTGAGGAGCCAGTATCTGGACCAGTTATTAGGGAAGGTTGAAGGATGCTGGGAAGATGCCTATGCCTGCTCCCACCTGAAAATTCATGTACTAACAATCCCAATCCTGACAGGAAATCAAAAGTGCATTCTCTGCATAAACTAAGCAAGGCAGGCCTGGAACAGAGGCAGCAGTGGTCAGATATCCCGTTGAGAATGAAATGATTCTGTGAAATCCAGCATACTGAGCAGTGAGCCTCTCATGCTCTCTGCACTTTCCTCTGAGAGGCAGAAAGTGGATATTTTATCCATGAAACAAGAAAATATTATTTTTAAATAGCAATGCAGAAAAAAGAAGCTCTTGGCAATTAAAAATATCTCCTCTCCCTCCACAAAAGACAAACCAGTAAAATATTTAGAAGATAATATATTTTTTCTTATCTCACTTGTATTTTCTTATATCTGCTCCAAATTTCTTAAACAGAGCTCCTAAAATCATTATAGTTTTCTAAGTGATAAGAGCAGTAGGAGCATCTTTTGTTCTAATGAGGCAACTCTGGGAGGGCTCCCGGATGGAGGCTGGTCACCAGAGAAACCAAGCCATAATTAGAAGCTTGGAATCTTCAGTCCCACCTCCCCCTGTCCTTAAGAGACGGCAGAGGAGCTGGATATGGAGCTACTAAATTGGGAATGCCTATGTGGGGAAGCCTCTCTAAAAATCTCAAAAGCACGGGGATTTGGGGCACTTCTAGGTAGGCGAACATATCCATATACCAGGAGGGTAGCCACACCCCAACGCCATGAGGACCGAAGATCCTGTGTTTAGGACCCTCCCAGACCTTTCCTATGTATCTCTTCATCGGGCTGTTTATTTTTATTATATTCTTAATTAGCAGGACAATGTGTTACCCAGAGTTCTGCAAGCTGCAGTAGCAAATTAAGCAAGCCCAAGGAACCTCCCATTTGTAGCCATGCTGGACCAGAGTTGTGAGGAACCTGGGGACCTACTAGTTGCAACTGGCACCTGAAGGGGAGGCAGGCTTGTAGGACTGAGCCCTTAACCTGTGGGAGCTGACACTATATCCAGGTAGGTAGTGCCACAGTTGAGTTTAATTGTAGGCCACCTAGCTGGTGTCCCAGCATTGCTTACTGTGAGAGATAAAATCTACACGTCTGGGGTCAGAAGCGTTGAGCGTGTGGTGGTGTAAGAGCAAAGGAGACACAAGGAAGAGAAAGAACTGGGGTTTTTCTAACTCAATATGCCAAGAAGAGGAGGAGGGATTAGTCAAAGATAAATTAGAGGAGAAAGATATTTTTTACAAAATGTTAGAAGATAAATCTAGGAGGCCTAGGTTTTGAATAATAAAAATTCCATTAAGAGAAAATGAAGATAAATAAATCAAAGAAATAACACAAGAAAATCGTTTAGAACTAGAAATGAGTTTCCTTTATTCTCTAAAAGGAATAAAAATGATCCTGCGCTAAGACATATCAGTATGAAATTGCAGAATACCAGAAAAAAAAGATATTAAAGTATTTCCAGGGAAAGTAGGGGAAAGCCCGCTTATAAGGACTGATATTCAGATAGCCTTGGAGTTCCCAAGAACTAATACTCAAGGTTAGAAGAGCAATGCCTTCAAAATTCTGAAGGAAAACTATTTCCAATCTGGAATTCTTACCAGAAAATTGCAAGCTAAGAAAGAGGGGTGAATAAAGATAATTTCAGACATGCAAGGACCTGAACATGCATCTTCTCTTAAGAAGATACTAAATAATATACTCTACCAAAACAAACAAAATAAAGCAAGAATGTAGATGAGACCCAGAAATCGGGGGACTCAACATAGGAAAGCAATAGCAGTAACTCCTCAGATCAGCGGTTGCCCACCTTTCGGATCTCACGGACCACCAGTGGTCCATGGATCACAGGTTGGCGACTGCTGCCCCAGATGACTTTAAAGCAGTGATTCTTATCATTGGCTGCACATTAGAATCACCTGGGGAACTTTAAAAGCCCTGAAGTCAGGGCCACGGAGCAACAGAATCTCTAAGGGTATGACCAACACATCAGTGAATTTTAAAGCCCCCCAGGTGATTCCAATGTGCAGACAAGGCTGAGAATTCTGTGAAAGGAAAGTTTCAGAACAAGAACTGAAGGCATTCATATGTTCAAAGGAAACTAAGAAAATGCAAAAAGAAAGAAAAATTTTTAAAAAGAGAAAATGTAACTGGCTTGGCAGCGAGAATATATTTACATCGTCATAATAAGGGAACACATAAAATACTGAATAGTTATATTAGGAGAATAGGGGAAATAAATTATTATTAAGAAAGAAAATTGATTGGTCATGAGATAGCAATATACACATTAACAGATATATAGAGTCAAATAACAAAAGAAGCAGCTAGGGGAGTATGGTGGGATGAATAATGTCCATGTCCTAATCCCTGGAAGCTGTGAATATTACCTTCTATGGCAAAAGGGAATTTGCAGAAATTATGGGTCTTGAGATGAGGCGATGAGCCTGGATGATCCAGGTGGGCCTAATATAATCACAAGGGCCCTTTAAGAGGAAAGCAAAGTAAAAGAGTGCAGAGCAGGTGATGTGAGAATGGAAGCAGAGATCAGAGTGATGTAGCCACATGCTGAGGAGCCAAAGGATGGTGGTGACCAAGAGAAGCTGGAAGAGGCATGGACCAGATTCCTGGCTAAAGTCGCCGGAGGAACCTGCCCTGCTGACACTGATTCATACTCATTTCTAACTTCTGATTCCAGGACTGTCACAATAAATGTGTGTTGTTTTTTAGCCACTAAGATACAGTAATTTGTTACCGCAACAATGGAAAAATTTTTATTGAGTTATAATTGACATATCACATCATATTAGTTTCAGATCTACAACATAATAATTCAATATTTGTATATATTGGGAAATAATCACCACAGTAAGTCTAATTCACATCCATCTGTCACCATACATTGTTATAAAACATCTTCTTGTGATGTGAACTTTTAAGATCTATTCTTTAGCAACTTTCAAATACATGACAGAGTATTCACTATAGTTACCATGCCTCACATTAAATTTCTTGACTTATTTTATAAGCAATTGGAAATTAATACAGAGTTTAAAGTGTTGGAGTGAAAGTGGGATTAAAGGCCTAACAGGGGACATATACCCTTAAGTGTTGACTTTTTAAAGAATGTGACACATGGATAAAAATTAAAGTAACCAAGCTTCATTGAGTGTTTAAAGTAGTGAAAATATATGGCCATAAAGACATAAGTGATTGAGAAAGTGCTCCTCAAGCATTAATGTGCACACAAGTCACCCACAGACCGTGTTAAAAATGCAGGTTCTGATTTAGGTCTGCAGTGGGGCTTGAGATTTGTCTAGATTTCTATAAGCTCCAGGTGATGCCCATGGCCCATGGGCCATACCAGGAGTGACAAAGACCTAGATTTTAGGACTGCAGAGAGAGCATGGTTAGAGGGGAAGAGAGCAGAAAGCAGGTAGGACTTTTTGATTAAGTTACGGTATTTTGACTTTATCTTTAAAGATATAGAGGCCACTGGACAGTGGAACAATAGGATGAGAGTTTTAACCATTATTATTCTCTTTAGAAGAGGAGGAAGCAGGGGACATCAAACCAGAGCCTGGAAACAATTTACTGTGCAATCTTTTGTCTGAAGTTCTCTTGTATAACATCTAAAGGAATTTTCTTGCAGTCTTTTTCCCTGACATAATTCTATAGTAATGTATTAAATTCCTACCTGCCCATGACAGATCCACTTGTAAATAGCATAAGAAAGACAATTTTCTCAGGACCGTGTGACTAATACACTCATCAATACACAAAACATGAGGCTCTGGATGACAAAACATTACTGATACTTTGGACAACAGTTTTAAAATTCAGGATGCTCTTGTTAAATTGAAGAATTGAGCCAAAATCAACAGAACAAGCACACACAGTTCCGCCAGGTGTTTCAAACCCAGGGGTCAGGAAGCTCCGAAACCAAGACCATCCTCGAAGCTAAACATCCACTTGGTAAGGCTCCCCACTCCTGTTTTCCCTCCCCGCACACAGTTCCGCCAGGGGTTTCAAACCATAGGGGTCAGGAAGCTCCGAAACCAAGACCATCCTCGCAGCTAAACACCCACTTGGTAAGGCTCCCCACTCCTGTTTTCCCTCCCCTGCCTCACTGCCACAGGGTGTCTGGACAGATGTCAACTACTGCCCCTCCATAGGATTTAACTCTACTACCCACAGCCTCTGAGCCCTCTCCTCCAGAGCCCTGCAATGAGGGGAGAGGATGACCGATTTGATATGACTTGAGGAGCCCACACTAGCAAATTTGCACTTTGAAACATCACATTAGCAACAGAAAAAAAAATAATCAAACACTTAAAGGTTAATGAGTAAGAGTAAAATGGCCTTTTCCCAAGGAGTGTCATAATGTGTCCCTGGCATTTTTAAAATGTGGTCACTAACCAGAAAGGGGGTGGGTGAGAAGATGAAGATCAGGTTTCTCTAACAATGCATTGTTTACCTGCCCAAATTCCGGAAACGATGACCTTTTAAAACTTAAACCCATCTTTTCTTTGAACTATAACCCTTTCCCAGACTCATCCTTAATTACACTTACTTTGTTGTCCACAATTAGCCAGTCAATATCCAAGCCCTGCCAATTTCACCTGCTAAGCAGTTCTCTGACTTCACTCTCATCTCCATCCTCTCACCCACCACTCTACTTCAAGTCTTCATCATTCCTCATCTAGACTAATACAGAAGAGTCTCAGAGGCCTCTCTGCCTTCCTATTCCTTTAGATCCATACTTCACAACATGGTTACTATGATTCAGCTAAAGTACATATCTGACCTTGAACCCTCCTTGTTTAAAGCTTTAGTCCTCATGGAATGAGATCCAAGTTCTCCAATGTGACATGAAGATTTCTGCAGTGGTGTTCCACAAGGAGTACCACCAGCTTCCTGTGTGGGGCATTTCTGAATGTCTCAATGTCTGGGGGATGGTAGTAGTATTTTGTGCCTAGGGGTCAGGAATGCTGAGCATCCTGTAGTATCCAAGACAGCTCACACAATGAACCATCCCACCCAGAATGCCACTGTGGAGAAACTCTGCTCATGGCCCCTGCCTACCTCCCCAGCCTGCTAGACTACAGCTCTTCTAGACTTGTACTCTCGTAGACTGCAACTACACAAAACTCCACTTCCCTAACACAACCATGCCTTTTTTTGATATTATACCTTAATTCTTGCTTCTGTTTGGATTAATTTCACTTGAAACCTGGAATGACTCTTCACTTTATTGACTTATCTTAAAACTTCAGCTTTCTAATTGTTATATGCTGAGTCTACACTCACTACTTTGCATTCTATGATTTTCTCCTTCACCTGACTAAGGTCCTTCTAGGCAGAAATTGTAGACACTCAGTGGACCTTATATAAACAAAACAAAAAACTTTGAGAGATGGATAGATGATTGGATGACTGGGTGAGATCAAAGGCTTTTATAAGGCTGATGTATACTTAGTCCAGGTGCCCACAGTATAGGTAATAAGTGCACTGTTTTCTTGCAACAATTGAAGTTTCAGATTAGGCCATCTGCCTTTAGTTCCAATATTCTAGTTTCACAGGTCATTCTATGCTCTTAATCTTCATTCACTAAACGCCTCTTTTGCAATGCCAGACAGCACCCTGCATGGCATTCCACTTACCCAAGCTGAAGATTGTAGGTTATGGCAAGCAGTTGGATAGGTACTTCTGTTTGGCAACTCTGTCTCCAGTCTGCTCAAGAATTCGGCAGTTTTGCTAGCAGAAACACAAGTCAGTGTTAGTGTCTTCATGAAAACAGAAATATCATTACTTATTGTGCCTTTGGGAACTAGCCTAGACTTGTATTAGGTGATGCCTAAAAGTGTCATAGGTAGGACAGTTTGAGTGCAGTAGAAAATCAAAACAAAATGCTATTACAAAACTGCATTATTGAAGAACATTAGTTTGAAAAGTATAAGTCCTAAAACTGAACCTATAGGAATAGATTCTGAACCTATGATTTTATTTTTCTACTTCCTGTACTTTGACATGGAAATAAATGCTCTCTCATATTCTAAAGTACGGGGCCCTAATTTCCTATCCGCACATTTAAAGCTTGACACTCAGACTTCACTATAAAATGAAACATTAATCCCTTATAATATCTCATTTCACACTGGTTTTACATGAGCCCTTCATCTCCTTTTCCCTGGTCATCTCATTTCCAGCATAGTTTTAACTACTTTCAGGATACACAGACCCTCTAATCCAGTAACTCTTAGCCATTTATCGATCATGGACCTCTTTGGGATTCTGAAAGCAGAAATAGATCCTCTGTTTACACACACACACACACACACACACACACCCTTGTATTTGATTTGTAAGAAGTGCTGTGGTTCTGGTCTGCATTTCTGACATGAAAGATTGGCCTAGACATGTCCTCAGAGTAAGTGAGAGGTTCTTTGACAGCATGGATGGACCTGGAGAACATTATGCTCAGCAAAATAAGCTGGTCAGAGAAAACAAATACCACATGATTTCACTTACATGTGGAAGCTAATGAAGAAACGAAACTACCAAGCAAAATAGAGACATACTCATACATTGAGAGCGGGCAGACAGCTCAGGGGCTGGAGGTGGGGAAAGGGATATAGCAAAAAAGAAAATAAGACAGAGAAAACTCATGGATATGAACAACAGTGTGGTGATTAGGGGTGGGAGGGTTTGAGGGGTGAATGCGTGGAAGTGGAAGAGGGCATAGAGGGGATCAATGGTAATGGGGAGAAAATACAAACCATCACCCTGATTTTGCCTCTCATGTACATCACGCATAGAATACTGGAATTGTTCCCTGGCCCTTACTTCCATAACTGGCCATTGATCCTACCTACCATTCTACCTACCATTGATTTATTTACATTCCTTTGTCCCTTCCCCATGTTATCTATGGGATTTGTTACCCCTCTATTCCATATTCGCAACCAAATATCTCATCAAGGCCTGATGTATAGTGCATCAGATCCTTCCTGCCTGCTCCCTATCTGCTTCCTTCCTTCTGGTATCCCTCTGCTTTCCCCTAATATTTTAGGTCTAATGCTAAGATCCAATTCACCAAGCACTTAGGGCATGGACATCAGAGAAAACACAAAAGGCCTGGCAAAAATAAATGATATCTAGTGGGGTGAAAATCAAAACAAGGAATTAGAAATTAAACAGAGATGCCAACATCATTTCAAATAATTATTTGAGTAGAGCATGTCATTTGAACAAGTTCAGAAGCTTGAGCTGGGAAAGAAAGAGCTCAAAGTTCAATAATGTACATAACCCTAACAAACATAAGGCTTCGGCAGTTGAGACACGCAGCCTTCCTATTTGTCTAGGATTGCTTATCTTGCCAAGAATAGACAAGGAGACTAATGAAGTCTCAGAGTCTGGGAGCTGCCCCAGTGTCTGGAGCTTTATGAAATCATCAGTCAAAAGTATAAAGAGAAGAGAGTTGCTACAAGTTTGGATGAGATTTCTGAATATCCTTAGCTGAGTGCAAACCACAGGAGAAAGCAGTGAAAAAGAAACACCATGACAAGCAAGGAAGAAACATTAGATCAAGTTGACTGGCAGCCCTGCACTGTGTTCTGACGGTTGCATTTTATCTGCCAATTCCAGCACGAAGCTTGCTGGGTATCTAACCACCAGGTTGGCCCTTGTGCCAATGTCACTACCCCACTTGTGCCACAAGATTAAATCACAATGACAGGGCCACAGGACTGTCACAGAAACGTGAGAAGTCTCTGGAGAATGTGGATTGCTCCCAAGTAAGTAACTATGCAAACAAGACAAGTTCCAAGTTACCAAACTAACTGGTATTGTTCTACTATTAGTACAGTGTCAGGTGGTTGAGTGTTGACCAATGGAAAGTGAAAGGAAGTGATGCACACCACCACTTCCAGGACCAAATAACTGTAAACTTCCCAGGCATGCACCTCCATACGTTTTCCCCCTACTGGCTGCCTGTGAAAGAGACAACCCCAGCACAAACTTTAAAGTCATATATATATATATATATATATGACTTTTAGACATTTAAATATTTAATGATATTAAACCCCAGCACAAACTTTAAAGTCATATACATATATGACTTTTAGACATTTAAATATTTAATGATATTAAGGAATTGTTGACTTTTTCTAAGTGTGAGAAGTTTTGTGATTATGTTTTGGTGTTTTTTTGTTTGTTTTTTTTCCAAGAAGAAAATGTGATTTTTTAAAAAATTTCTTTTGTTTTCTTTATTGATTAAGGTATTACATATGTGTCGTTATCCCCTCATCTGTGCACCGGGCCTCTAGTATTCCATAAGATGTAAAATCTGTTAATGGAGATTCATCAATGAAAAAAATTTTGACCTTTTTGAAAGGATAAAAAGTATAGAAAAGGTCACAGAGTGTGGATTGTGTGTCTGTGGATCATTTGACTAGCACAGAATTGCAAAAGACAATTCCTATAAGGCTATTTTTTGTGGTTAGAAAAGAACATTAGGGTTTTAGTGTTCAAGAAGGAATAAAAAATTAACTTAGACCTTTAGGAGGTTATGAGTCAGGCACCTACCACACTCCACACCTCAGGGCTAAGCACCTTTCTCTAGCTGCTCTGTTTATCTGGCAACTTTGCACCACAACTGGGCACATAAAAACATTCTAATAAAAATGTTAAAGCTAAACAGTTGTAATTAGAAAAGCTCCTTCTCTGGGGAAAAAAAAAAGCCAGTTACAAACCCTGGTACTTCTGTCTTGTTAGGAGTAGATGGGGCATGTTTACCTTCTTTCATCTCAAGTGACTCAGAAGTCTGCAGGGTGTGACCAGGTGATGTAAGGGAGTGAAGTGGGCCAGGAGTGAGGCACAGGAGCTCGGACTCAATGATAAATAGCAGCTGCCACTCAGGTCAGTGTTGGAGAGACCAGAGAGAGAAGAGAGGATTTTGACAAACTAGAGCATGATCTTCCCTAGAAAGGGGTCATCTGCTACTCAGCTCCAGGCTGTCACTGCCCCATGGGGACACAGCCGGCATTGCCAAATCCTAGTTTTTGTAGGTAGAATAAAAATGCTAACAACTTTTAATGTGAAATAGGTTGGCAATTAATACAAAAATTTTTGAAACACTGTGGGCTAACACTGTGCCAAGCAAAAAACAAAAACAAACAAACAAAACACACACACACACAACAAACAAGCACAAAAATAAAACCAAAGCAACAATGTCAGTATGAATGGATATTAGAAAGCTCAAATGTGGCCCCAAAGGCCACCTGTCTGTGAGCAGGTGATTTTATTTCTGCATGTCCAGGCTTGTGCATGTCTTAATTACATATTCTTTATATTCATTTTTAAAAAAAGGAAAAGACAAGCAAGGTTGGTTTCTAGTATTGAGGAGATAGTTGCTATACTGGTTTATGTATATCAGCTAATAGCATATTTCATATTTATTTCAATCACTAAAGAATATCATTTCATTTATAGTTTATAACTGCATGAAAATATTTGTATTAATACATGAAAAGAAATGGTGGGACACTATGAGATGCAAAAACTCCCAAAATATTTATAAACAAATAAAAATAATAAAATTATTAATGTGAACAATATATAAAGATCTAATAAATTAATTAGAAAAAGATGACCCAATAGAAAAGTGGGCGAAAGGTAGAAACCTAATTCACAGAGGAAGAAGCCCAATTACTAGCAGTAATAAAAACAACAACAATAATAGCTTAGAATGTGTATGGCGCTTATTATGTGTCAAGCCTGTTATAATCACATTATATATATTAACTTCATGACAACCTTGTGAGGGTACTAATATAATGCTCAAAATCATACAATACAGATAGTAAATTAAATGTCACAGCCAGGATCAGATCTGGGCAGACTGGCTCCAGAGTCCATGCTTTTGGTCACTATACTTAATTGCTTCTCATGAGCAATAACCATGTGAAAAGATATTTAACCTCACTAATAATAACTGTGGTGTTTACTAGCGTAAGGCTCAGCATATGCCATTCTGGGTTCCAAAGGACAATAATGTCCCAAACACCAGGAGGAAGACCTGTGGGGGGCTGGCAGCATGAGAATCATCGGTGGCGCTTCTTAGACGTCACCGGACTCCAGACTTGGTCTTTCTAATTCAATGTCTGCAGTGGGATCTGGGAATGTTTCTTAAACGCACTCCTGGCGATCTTGAGAACTATTATGGTAGTACATATGGATATTTAATATGCATAAGTACCTCAGGTCCACATTGTTCTGATTTATGAATAATTCTTATCATACAACACATTTCAAAACAAAACCTCAGCGTGTCTTAGGAATCTTCCGTGTAAGTATTATCAAACAGTACATTCTTCCTGTATTTTGCATAGCTTCACAAACATGAACTTTGCCACCATAAGGTTTAGGTGAACAATACCCCTTCTTACACTTGCACATGCATTCATGCAGGTAAAAAATAATTTCCTCAGTCTCTGCTTTGTATTTTAAAATACATGTTATAGAATAATCTAGATAGGTACTACTTTGCCTATGTCAGTTTCATATACTGGATGTGAACAAAAGACCTTAATTAGCAAGGTGAGAGAAAATGAATAGATACATGAGTTCCATTTAAAAGATCACAAGAATGAGAGGTATGAAACAAGACATAAATGTGAGGTAGTAACTTTGGGAGAGCTAAGTTGTATACTTAATCATAGTACTTTAAATCATTCTTTCCCCCTTGTTAA